TATCATTGTAAATCTTTATTACTATTTGTTTTGTTTTATTTCACTAATATAGTGTAAAGCGCATAGAGCCTGCTGTTGAGCGGGGATATGCGCAAAACAAATGCTATCTATTATTATTATTATTTGTTTTATTTCCTACGGAGGTCTGCAAGTTGTTGTTTTTATTATAAATAAACATCAGCAGAGACACATCAGTGAATGAAAACTAAAAAGCTAGAAGGCGAAGGGTAGACAAAGAAACGACAAACGTCAGTCTATGAGTATCTGATCTATCTTTTGTGGAGGAGCTAAGTTGATGAATCCTACTGGGGCAGTTCCTTGGATCTTGAAGTGAAAAAACAGCTAGCTTGCCACTGTTTACAATTTTGCGTGTTATTGACAGACATGAGATAACCAAGTGACACTTAAACAAATATGCAACCCTGTGTGTCTAGCTCGTCGATTTTCTGGTCGAGGTTGTCACGACTGAGGTCACGGTGTCTACTTTCACTTTCGAATTCGACGTTTTCGTGGCCGGGGTCACAACAACAGCCAGTGGTCCAAAAAAAGTCAAAGGTAATTTACTCGTAGCCTATTTATTGATGATTCCTGAGACAATTTGCTTTACTATGCAGGAAGTCTATGATTAAGGTTCTGGTGTTTTGGTATGGGGCTTTTCAACCCCCCCCCCCCTCGAGTAGTGCTACTGCTACTGACTGAAGTCAGTAAGACAGTAAAGTTGTCTTTAGTAAGCCATTCTCAAAAGGGGGATACTTATGTGATATTAACATGTTCTTATGCTCAGTAGAATTGAAAATGGGCAGATTTATCAATGTCATGCTCATACTGTGCCAGAACAACATGGTCATGATCTAGGGGAAACTGCTGCTTTTTCTTTCCCCATCCTTACTCTGACTCTTACTATCGTCATTTTTCCTACCTCTACTCTATTATGTTTGTCACTCTCTTCAAGTGAACTGCTCGGGGTGCTTTGATAGTCAAAGCAGACTTTGTGCTGTTGAGGCTAGAGAGGTGAGTAGAGTAAGTCTGATTCCCCGTTTGGACTTTTCTGTTGACATCCACCCCTTATCATCCTTGGCACTCCATGCCATATATATTAATATATGAATATAATATATGACCTTCAGTTGTGAGTGCCGAAAAACCTTACGAAAACAAACTTATCATTTCGTCTCATGCATTTTTGTACATTATAATGACACTGTGTAAGACCGCCACTTGTCAAAGACGCCCACTTTTCTTCTCAACAATGGTTTGCTGTCTTTGCCAGTTTCAACTGTATCTTCCTCTACTATTGGCATCTTGATTTCGTCTGACAAGAGTTAGTTTTTGAAGTCTGTCATGTTAATTCTGAATTCATTTTGTGTATTTTACAAAAAAGCTTCCTCCACATTGTGATTTTATGCAGATGTCACCATCTGGGCTGATTAGGACATTTTGTTTGCTTTTAAAGCAGAGAGGAAACTCATCTTGAACTTTTTTTTTTCTTCTTTCTTTGTTCTATCTCATGGCATAGTAGTAAAAAGAAGTTACTGATGAAAAAAAAGGATGACGTGCCTGGTTTTCACAGCCCAGAATTCAATTGCCTGTAGTTCCATTTCCCTTTACCATACCGCTTTGGACTGTCAGAGTTTCAGAAAGGGGCTCTTGTGGTCGAAAGGTTGCAGTTACAGTGTTTGCCTCTCATTCAATTTAGAGTTGCGGGTTTGAATCTGGACAGCAACGGGGAAAATGTTCTTTTCAAATGCTAGGGTCGGAGGTCCCGTGTGCAAGTTGCACACGTTAAAGATCCCTTGGTGGTCCAAAATCAATAAGAGTAAGCTTTGGCTCACACTGCCACCCGTGCAAATACAAAATTTCCTACCTGCTGAAAGTGTTAAATGTTTCCCACAAGCTCACATGACCGTATGCAGTTGCAGGCACCGTAAAACGCAAACCAAAAAAAGAAAAGATAAAAAAAGAAAAGTTTCAGATACCTTGCAGACACAGTGCGTAAAATATTCAATGTGTCTTATTGATCCACAGATGTGCAGATATTCATCAAGAGCAGGGCAGGTTGCTGTGAACTTAAATGATGAAGAGAAAGGAAATGTCCTTCATTGTCTTAACAATTTGACCACAGAGGAAATGAGACGAGTTTTTAGGTGAATTTGTATACCATTTGTTGGGAAATACCGTCAATACATTTTTCTTACTTTCAGTCTGTATGGCAGTCAAATTGGGTTTATATACCCTATGCTTGTGCTCTGTTTTATAATTACGAGGCTTGAGCTGGGGGGGGGGTGAGGATGGGGGTTCAGTATGTGAAATTTTAATGTTGGAAGGGCTGTTTGTGTTAGACTTGAGCCTCATCTCCAACTTTATTTCTTCCTGGTCGTTTTGCTCATTATACTTTCTGTCATTTTTGCATTTCTTTCAGAACTTACAAACTTTGTCTTCAAGATCTAGAAATTTAGTTTGAAAATATTGCTAAGGTGTTTTCTATGGACTCTTAGGACCTGTGTAAGAGTGAAAGAAATCCTACTATGAGGAATTCTGTCTTATTTTTTATTTTATGGCAGTGTTAAGATAAGATAATACTTTATTATCCCAGAACATTCCTGGCTTGTCCCTAGCATTCTTTCTTGACCTCTACTTCTGCACGCGTTCTGATTGGTTCTCTCACAAACAGATACTGAGTGGGTGGTTGGTGGGTGCTCTGGTGGGGTTTGCTCCTTTTTTCCTATCAAACATTTATCGTCCTGATCTCCCTTCCTTCGTTTTTGTGTTTGTTACTCTCTTGTAACACCTCTAATCTTCGGCACTTATATGACCTTATTTATTGTGTTGCAAGTACCATAAAACCCTTACGAAAATGTTTTTAAAAAATAGATGCTGATAATTTTCATCCTCATAATATTATTCTCCTCCTCCCACGTCAAGAGCTGGTTGTTCTATTCAGACTCCGAACATGTCATCTCTCTCTTGCCCTTTTTAACTCCCAGTGGAGCATAGACCATCAACAACATTTCTCCAGCGAAGCCTGTCCTGTGCATTCTTTTTTAACTGTTTCCATGATATCCCCGCCTTTTTCATTTCCGCTTGTACCGCTCGCCTCCATGCCATCTTTGGTCTTCCTTTCTTACGTTTTCCTTTTGGATTTCACGGCAAACATGTCATAACCGTCTGAAACATCATTTTTACACTAAGTTCAGGATTGGCGACTCGGAGCAGTGTTCATGCGAGACTGGCATCCAGACAGGAAATCATACACTACAAGCTTGCCCATTGCTTGATGAAGCAGAAGCACTTAGTGGAAGGAAATACTAGCCCAACCCAAGGCTTGGGACGCCAAAACTCGACTTGAGTTACGAGGACATGTGGTAGACAGTGGCCTTCACACTAGAGACGGAGATGTTTATTTAGAGATGACCGAAAAGAAGAAGATAATATTTTATTTATGTGGTTCAGTTTGGTACTACAGTTGTCATACAGTCATCTGGGATATGATTGCATTCTAAAAGAGGTCAGCACAAAGGAGTTTGTTATAATGAAATAATAACCTAATTGTCTGTTTGAGTCCAAACCTTGGGTGATTGGCGGGTGCTCTGGTGGGGTTTGCTCCTTGTTTCCTATCAAACATCTGTCGTCCTTATCTCCCCTCTTTTTATTTTGTGATTGTTACTCTCTTCGTCATCATCATTGCCTTTCTCACCCAGTATCAGGGTATAGGCCACGGACAAACACCCCCCACTTTTCTCTATCCTGGGCCAGCCTCTTGATGTTA